CAACGCCAGAATGTTTTACATTTCGTTTATTTTCCATATTTTTTCGCATGCCCGGGCTACACGTGTTGGTAACATATTTTTGGACATTATTACAATGGTTCCTTTTTTCTTTGCTTTTTGTTTGTGCTGGAACAGAGGCAAACTGAAACGAACCCATGCCCCTTCAATATGGATTTTATGGGTCTCCTTTTTTATGAACACTCGAGCGTATTCAAGTTCGCAGCGTGTTTTGAATGTGTTTTGGGGCGGACCAAGTCCACATGGCAAGTAAACAAACGACTGGGACAAGTGGCAAATGCATTTTATTTGCAACATGTTTTATGCGCAAAAATTTCGGAGCTAAAAGGTGAAGTCAAGTGCAAAGCGATGCTCTCGACCGTCTTCAAGTGGGTCACCGAAAATTTTTGTCAGCTAGAAAATGGAAATATATTCAAAAAGAGACGAAGGGCTGCCAATTTAGAAATAACTCTTCAAACATTTTGCATAAAAAAGGTTATATGGAAAACTAATAGTTTAAAAGAAGAATTGACGTGTGCGACGTTGCGATTTTATGGGCTGTTTTAAAATCTTAAAGTCCCGCTCATGGTAATCTGATTTAAGGTAGACAAAATTATCCATAAATACCAAAAGGTCAAAATAATGCAAGGTGAATAACTTTTCATATTTTTCGATAAAAGCCTGCGTGTATTAAAAATTTGTTTTTATTTATAGGCAGCATTTGAAAGCCCTACACCGCCATATTTAAGCCACCTTTTTTGCCAGGTGAGTCGGCGGCAAAGAAATGAGCTCTCGTGTGCCTGAAAAGTGAGCTGCCAATAAAAAAGATTAAAATGCAGCCATAAAATACACAATTTTATACACATTGCCTTAATGAAAAGCAGCCGAGGAAGCAGAAGTGGATCCCCCAACCATCCTTAAACCATCCCCATCTCCGCCGGATAAAACCGAATTTCATGCTTAAGCTCTGTAAAATTAACATTTAATTGAAGCCTACAATTCAGCGCTTTCGGCAGTGCCAAAAAATTGGTCGGGGGTGAAAAAGGAGGCTACTGCAGGTCCCAGGATACAGCCAGGATATATGTGTGTATATTATATATATGTTTAAGCACACAGACAAGTGCAGTGGTCCGGGGGGCGCCAGGGGAGTGCATGTTTTGATAGCGTAAATTATGTTATAAAATTTATTTAATTTCACTTTTCTGAACGTTTTGTTGCCCTGACACTGGCCCACGAAATGTGCGCCGGGCATGCAAAAGGGAGAAGTGCCACTACCTCTACTGCCACCACCACCCCGATTTTCATCCACCTGACGCACTCAGCACTCCCATATGTACTTTTTCTCCCCCTCCCAAAAAAAACCCCCTGCAAAAGCCAGCACAGACATATCCATATCAACTGCCACAGCGGAGTGAAAAGTCCCTGGAGTATTGCAAATTGTGCAGGGTCGCCTTCGCCTCAGACCCTTTGCTCCCCTTTTTTTTGGGCCCCGCCCATCCACTTCTCCAGTGGGAAGTTGCGTGCCCAGTGCGCATATTTATGTAAGCAAGCCAAAGAACACGCTCAAATTTTCGGTAGTCGTCTGGCACTGAGAAAAAAACTGCATTCTGAATTTAACAGCATTGTAATATGAACCCAGAAAAAATATTAAATATTAGATTAGAATTAAACATTGAAAAAAATATTTATTAAAAAAGGTAAAGTTTCGAAATGATATGCATATTTTAATGCAGATCTTCAGTCATCAATCCTAACATTTTTTATTTCGAGTATAGAAAAAATGTATTAATGTTAAAAATAAAATTTTCCATGTACTTACAAAACATTACTTTATTATATTAATTTAAAATTTTTATACACTTTCATTCTACATGAAAAAAATGTACTATGAAATTATAAAGTTTATTTAGCTATATTAAATACAAGTTGTTAAACTTTTTATTTTAACTCTAGTTTTTTTTGTTAAGCATATTTATAGGCAAGTATATTTTTTTCTAAGTGCACCACTCGCAATGAAATGGAAAGCGCGACCAGGAGCAGCAGAAGTCCGGAGTCAACCGTAGTGAGTCCACGACCCCGGCGACCCCGGCGACCCCGGCAAATACAACCCGCACGTGTGTGCTGCTCGCATCGTGGATTTCTTGGGGCACCTGCAACGCAGTCGATTCCCCGGTTGACAGGCGGCTTAAACGACCCGTGGCTGGTTAAATAATTAAGCACCAATGACACTTAAACGTAAATCATGAATTTTGCAAGCGGCCCACAGGGCAGCAAGAGCCGGAGTCCTCCGATCCTCGATGAAACATTAACCAAATGGCGACCCTTTCAAATCGGGCCAAGACCAGACCATTTGTCGGGCCCTTCAAAAGAGGAATGAAGAGGGAAACTGTCAGCGCCGGCGGAAACAACACCCGAAAAATTACTGTTGCAAAATGCTGTACAAGCTTCCGTCTCCGAATCCGAGAACGAGAAAGAGAAGTCCGAGGCTTCCTGCAACAACAAGGAGAACAAGGAACAAGGAGCTCTAAAACTAACACTAACGCCAACAAATCCCTAGCTGCTCAGCTCGTCCAACATTCCGGAGCAAACGGCAGCAGCTAGAGAGCTACAATGGAAAGAACTATGGCCAACAATTTGTTGCAGTGAAGAGGGGATAAAGGGGAAAGCGGGGCTAAAAGGAAGTACAAAGTCAATGTCGGGATGCCGGCAGAGTTGTCAACGCGCTTAAAGTTGCCTTAATTGCAGTCCTTGTTGTTGTTCCTGTTCCTGGTCCTGCACTTTTTATGGCAGCCGTGTCACAGGCGACAGTCCACAGTCGACAGTTGTCCTTTGGCGGCGGGCATGCATAAAATATGCTGCATACTTCGTGGCGCAGGAACACACGAAACTCAAAGGCAACCAGGGGGATTCGGAAGGTTTCGGCGGGTGGAGGGGAAAAATGAATACGGGACGAAATTGGGACTGACGACATATTTTCCTTTCAGTTTCAGGCTGTTAATTATTATTATAGACGTGTGAGTGTCTGGACGGGCAATCGGCAAACGGCACACGACCATCGAAGGCAGCGCAAGGAAGAAAGCAGGATGGCAGAAAAGCGGGCGACCAGTCAACCACATGCAATAAAACAGCACTTAGACATAGACAGAGGCATAGACGTGCACAACGAGAAAATTATATAAACATTCAAATACTCTTAAATATATTAAAAGCATTTATAGCACTCTATATAGAAAGATATACCTAGATTAAAAATATAATATATTAAAGTCAATTATTCTATTCAAATATTTGGCTTTAAATCCAATATATACTCATATTTAAAAATATTTGGGTAATTAATGTGTATTACTTCTTGGGTACGAATTTATTTAGAAATAGTTGCTCTAAATATTTAATAATTTAAACCTTCTATTTTTTTATAAAACTCAAATTTCTCCCAGTGCAATCACGAACACAACCGCAAATGGGAAGACAGAGACATCAACGTCGACCCCCTCCAATGAGTGGAACGGTGCACCGGGGAATACTTTGCCAAATTGCACAATCTACTCAGTCTCCTGTCGCCTGTCCCCCGAACTGTGCTCAACCCCCTGACTCATCGTGTCCGAGTCCATTCTGTCCGAGGTCCTGGTCCTGGCCAGACTGGTCTGGCAGACAGAAAGTGGCACCAGTTCTGGCCACTCATTTGACTACTCGGCCTTGTCGTCGTCGTGAAACCGCCTAGTCCTCCTAGTCATAGTCCGTAAAACAGTAGGCTTGAATCGTATTTTTCGGCCCTCATAGATCTGAAAGCAAGATACTTTCAACAGTGCCAAATGGCAAAACAAAATGAGAAAGCCAATTATGGGCATTTTATATCGACAACTTCTCACTGGAAAATCGCTCTTTATTGCAGCCGACAACTTTTATTGACAGTCGTAAAAAGTCATTGATTTCCGGGAAACTAAGGATATGTTCTGATTTTCACATTCACTAAGTTCGATTTTCCCTGTCCGTATTTATTTTCATATTTGTTATCATTTTGCCAATATGTATGGAAGAATTAACCCATTAGATTATACATTTTCACTGATAATTTAAAATGGGGCAAATTATTATAAAGTGCACCCAAAAAATAGTTCTAATTGTTGTTTTAAATACTTACCAAAATATTTGTAAATAATTTAATCCCATTTAAAACTCTATTTATGTTAATATATTTTTGCAGAAAGTGTTTTATTTAGAATTTGAGATATAGAAACCGGGAACTAAAGCCTGAAACTGTACAATCTTAATAGCTTATCTTCACTTCTGTAAATGAGTTAAAACCAAAGCCGGGAAACAAAAGCCAAGACATTGGCTGACAATTTTTATTGAAACTTGTTGAACTTTTTGCCGGTAATTGTTTGCCTTTTGGGCTTTGTTTGTGCGTCTGTGGGTGTGGTGACAAAGCCAACTTAAGTAGTTGGCCGCCAGCTTATCGCTTGGTTTCCCAGTGGAGGTGAGACTGGGAGTCGTTTGAAAGACATTATTCCTGGTTCGCCTTTGTCCGGCGATTACGGGCCTTCGGCGCCAGGTGCGCTAATCGCCGGCTGAGCTGTCCGGCAGGGAAAACTGAGAAAGCTGGAAAAGCCAAGAAAGCTGACCGGATCGGATTGGATTGGCTGGGATCGCCAAGGTGGTTGGGCTTTCCTTGTCTTGTCTTGGCCAAAAGTCGCCTAATTAGCTGGCACTTTGTCCTGGGCCACTTAATTAGCCTTCATTCCAAGTGCAGAGCTCCTCGCACATACAAATTGTTGGCGGGGACAATTGCATTCCAGTTGCGCAACAGAAATGGGCGCCAATTAAAGTTGGCGGCAGATTGGGAATTCAGTGAGTTGGCGGCGGCAGAGGCATCGTCATCCAAAAGTTTGGCGAGCATATTTAAACTTTTTGCGCCATTCGTTCGTTGTTGGATTTTATGTGTATGATTTTAATTCCATTAAAAATTGCGACCGGCATGCGAAATATACAAAGGGTAGGAGTTGGAGGGCAAAATGTCACATTTAAAATATTTTTATTGCTAATACTTTTTTTTGCTTTTTCGGTGCTCGACGCTAATTAAATGTGTAAATTGTTGGAGTTTTTAATTAAATGCGACAAATGTCTACAAAAATTAAGCGAAGCGAAGCAAGGACAACAAAAGGATTGGCCGGGACCCATTGTCCTCTTCTCATGGAAATGCTGCAGAGTTGCATTTGTTTGGGTGTTTTTTGGCTTACTTGGCTTACAGCAAAAGCTCGTCAACTTTCTCTAGTTCACTGCAAAAAAGGCGGCAAATCAAATCAGCGAAATGCAAATGCAAAGCGAGTCAACGGAAATGGCAAACAATTTGGCAAACTTATTCTTTCTTTTTTTTTGTTGATTTTTTTGATGAGGGCAGGCACAATGGCAAATGCGTGCATTTCGTACAATAGTGTAATGTAAATAAAATAAATGAAAATAATAATAAGTAGTCGAAAGTAGTTAGACAAGGCACATAAGAGACGCGTGAACTTTGATCAATCTGGCAGGCACAACACTTAACTATTCCTCCTTGTTCTCGACAGCCGGCACCTCCCAGTAGTGCTCGTCCTCGTGCTGCTCGTCCTTCTTCAGGTTCCGGAAATTGGTGTACTTCAACACGGCACCTGGTTTGGGATTAAAAAGAAAATTAATAATAAAATGATATTATGTAAATTATTTTAGGATTTTAGGAGGGTTTTATTATTTACTTTTCTTATTTAAAACAACGTATAATAAAAGTAGATTTTAATTTTCAAATTAAACCAGTTGTAAAAAATGTAAATGTACTAGGGAGAAACCTTCTTTCTTAAGCCTAGTACTCACTTCAATCAAAAAGTCTACAAAATGAAAATCTTAACACAAAATCACAAAATTTTTCACCTGTCATTTTGTCTTATTGATTGAAGTGAATAATAGGCTTTAGTTAGAATTTTGTAGGTTATAATTTTCTTATAAAAGTAATTTTTGTTTTATTAAATTTTTAAAAGCATGTCTCATTCATACCTGTCAAAATACCACCACCGATGGCAATGAGCAGTGTGACAGCGATGCCGAACAATTGGTAGCCCGCCTGTGAAGTTGCATTCCGGCCAAGACCCTGCGGGAAACGAGTCCAAAAAGGATTAACACCCGCCGTTTTGGAACAGCCGGATACTCGGATACTCACGCCCATGATTTTGGTCTCGGTTCCGTTGGTGCCCACCATGGCCGGGAAAATGTCCTGCAGCTCCGCTTGGTAATCGCCCACGGTGGCCATCGAGGCGTAAATGGCGGAGGCAATGGCCGAAATCAGGGCAGGCATTCCGTGAAGGTTGTGCACGCCACAGGTGTCGTGCAGCCTCAGATTGGCCGTCATCCAGGGCTGTAAAACGGACGAAAGGGTTATAAATGGGCAGCAGAAAAAATATTTTAGAATTAAGAACAAGAGTTGATCTTTAAAAAACAAAGTGAATATATTTCTAGAATATTTCAAATGCGAATTTTAATAATTGTATCTAAAAGATGCAATCAAAAAAACATTTTAAAAGTGACAGTTCGTAAAAAAAATATATAAATATTTTGTAAGCCGCCCTACTGTTTTTGATAAATGTTTTATTATACCCTTGTAGAGGGTATTATAATTTCAGTCAGATGTTTGCAACGCAGTGAAGGAGACGTTTCCGACCACATAAAGTATATTTATTCTTGATCAGCATCACTAGACGAGTCGATCTAGCCATGTCCGTCTGTCCGTCTGTCCGTTTCTATGCGAACTAGTCTCTCAGTTTTAAAGCTATCGCGATGAAACTTTCCCGAAAGTCTTCTTTCTATTGCAGGTAGTACATATGTTGGAGCGAGCCGGATCGGACCACTATATCTTAAGGCTCCCATAGGAATATTCAAACAAATATAAGAAAATTCATTGTAACTTTGTAGGAAGTAGGCGCTTTGATTCTTGACTACTTAAAAACAAAATTTAAATAAATAGAAACGCTGAATCTGGAATCCCTGGAACTGCACCGAGTAAGCATTCTTTAATCTACAAGGGTATATACGCTTCGGCTGGCCGAAGGTAGGTTCCCTTCTTGTTATCTTTTGTGGCTTACAGATTTATTATCAGTTATTCAATTTATGAGTTAAGTAATTCATATGATTTATTAGTAATAAATCCTCCTTAAATTGAAACCCCAAAACTTCACTTAAAACACACTCAAATCCGAAAACAATTAATTTCACTTCAACTTTCAGCAAGTTAGATTACAAGATGTGTGTTTCTGTATTTAAAATAATTAATGGCCAGTCCACGAATTAAATTGAATAAAAGTGAAACATGGCCAGGGAGTCAGTGTGTCATTTGAAAAGTGCAAATTTATTTACTGCTCCAGCGAGCGGGAACGGAAAATAGAAAATGAAACTGGGAAACCGGGAAACCGGGAGGGAACCCCATGGATTTTGATGCTCCGTGGTCGTAATGCAAATGGAAGTCCGGCGGAATCCGGGATGAAGTCCGGGCTGTGCGGCTGACCGGCGGGCAACAAACTTTACTCATTAGCGTCGCATTTTTCCTAGGCGCACTAATTAAAGCGAAGCCACCGCCAGCTAGTAGTTCTAGTTCTACAGCCAACAGTACAGACCAGGTTTTGCGATTTGAATAGCGGGTTTATGCTTGTATGGCGGGCACATAGAAAATGCCCCTTTTGGGAACTGATTTTCCTCCTTTTTTTTTGCATTTTCTGGTTCCTAAAACTTACGGTTAAATAGCGATAGCCGAGCACCGAGACCGTGCCGGCGATAATGCCAATTAAGACAGCTCCGTGGGCGCCGAGCAGCAAGTTGCACACCGTTCCAACGGCCACGCCGCCGGCGAGGGTCGAGTTCTGCACGTGCACCATGTCCAATTTATTCTCGTGGCTGACAAGCGCGGATACAACGAAGGTGGTCACTGTGAAATATACCAAAAATGGAGGGGGGTTGTGAGAGTTAGGATGGGTTATTCCCAGAAATAGAGGCTAAAAAAGCCGGGAGGCTGCGGCTCGCATTCATGGTTGCCGGGCAGCAGATTGAATGCAGCGAGCAGCGGACTTCGAATGGCCCCGGCTTAATTACATGATTTTAATGCATTTTTGAATGAGTCCCGGGTTGGTTCATTAGAGTGCGGAAAAGCACAGGGAATGGCTCTTAAAAATGTGGGATGAATAGGATAGAGAGTTTTTTAAGGACTGCTTGGGAGTAATTATAAGTTGCAAACTTAAAGTGATGAATTCATTATAATTTTATTATTTTTCTATCAATTGTTTTCTAAAAATATTTATTAATTTATATTTAGTATTTAAAGTAAGATAAAAATTTAACTGATATTACAGTAATTTTATATTTTTAAAGGGGGCTTACTTTAAAATTGTTTTAATTTATATATTTGTTTTCCACCTGTTATATTATATTCCACAAATATTTAAAAATACTTTTCTAACTTAAAAGATAAAATCTACTACTCAACCCGACGTCTTACCAACTTCATTATCACATTTTTCAACCTCACTAAATTGATCAATCAATTGCAAATGAGACATAAAACAGAAAAATCACGTATACGACTAGTTGAACAGCAAAGTCTCTGTTCTTCCCTTGCTATTTATTCAGTGCTATTCTGTAGTTTCTGTAGAAAGCAAACTCTGTTCCGTGATAAAATCCTTTGCATGCATAAACCCTCCTTTTTAAGTTTACTAAGACCAACAAGCAGCTATCGCTAATCACTCGAGCAGCAGGAATGACACACCCAGCACAGAACACACTTTTGCAATAAACACAAAACTAATAAAAATGTAAACACGACAGTGGCCAGATCCCTTTGGATTTCCCGGGGTTTTCCGACTAAACAGCAAAACAACAAGGACGCTTCGGTTTATGACCGGCGGCCAGCATAAATCTCGGCTGAATAACACTAAATACTTAAAAATCTCCATTTTATGGCGGAGCATATGTTGCAGCCATAATAATTTGCATAAATTAGTTGGGGCCACTGGCGTCGGTTGGCCACTGCAAATAAGTAAGGCAAATCTCAACCGACGTGTTGGGTAAACAGGGGACAGTTTTCCGGAGGAGGAAGGAGGGGAACTTCAACCGCAACAATTTCAAAACAGCTTTTGACGTTGTCCGGGCGACGCAAAACAACGAGAACAGCAAATTCTGGCTTAAAAATCAATTAAACAGCTTTTTTACAGCCGCTCCTCATCCTCGTCGTCCTGCTCGAGGACTAAACCAAAGCCAAGCCAACGGCATCCGAGATTCAGGATTCAGGACATCAGCTGCCGTTGCTGTTGTTTCTGCTTTGTTGTTTTCCCCTGCTCTCGAACATTAAACAATTTAAATTAACGCCAATGGTGTCACTTGCGACTGTAAAATGTGTTCTGTGCTTAGCGTTGTTGGCCAATGCGGGCAGCCTCCCACCCAATCCCTCCCTCTCCTTTAATCGCCCCCGAAAAATCCACCCCGCTGACCAGACTGGAGATCTAAACTGACCCAAACCCAAAACCAAACCCAAAAACGCACAGGAAAAAATAAATGAATTCTTCTCTCTATTCAAAGATGAAATTCCCATTTATTATCTACTTAATATCAAAATTGTGATATAATGTTTTATTAAATCCTCGTTTTAATAATGAAATATGAATTTGCCACCTATAAATATTTAAAATGAAAAATATTATTTAAATTTTAATTATGATTAGAAATAATAATTTTCAATAATTTTTTAAAATAAACAAAAGATGTATAATTAAATTTTTGTATTAAAATTTAATTTAATTTTATAAATAAAACATTATCTTTTAGTTACTTAAATTATTTTTTTTATAGTTCTACAGTTTTTTCTGAATAGCGCCTTATAAATTTTCTACATCTTCATCCTTAATTGTTTCTCTGTGCATTTCTAGGAGACGGTCCAGACGACGTTTCGGCTCATTTTGTGCCTGGTGTGAAAACAACAACTGGGGCGTATTTTTGCTGTTGGCGCCGCATTTGGACACCAAATGGCGTCGTCTGATCCGCTACCCTTCTGGTCCTGCTCCTGCTGCTCCTCCTTCCCTCCCAAAAACCAATCCTGCTGGCCAGGCTGCCATGCATGTCCGCCCGCATGGCCAACAACATGGAGCAACGTGGGCCACACCCACCAGACCGCCTCTAATTTCAGCATTGAACTGAACCCCAGCTTTAGTTTAATTAAGGCAACAACTAGTGAGCCAAGCAACCAGCCACCGAATGGACAAGGACACGAAGGACATCCGGGAGAGGGTGGGGAATGGAGGGTTTAGGCCACTGCAACGGACGGAGCCGCACGTTGACTCAACTAATCGCACTTCCTTCCGCATAAAATGCCCAACCAGACTCCCATTTTCCCATATAGGATACTCTAGGAAGTCTATTTATGGGATGGGTCATTCGGCTGCCCAGATTTGAATTCATTGATTAAGTTTCCTCTTCGGCCAGATATGAATTGCAACTAAATTTGAATATGCACTTTATTGAGACGAGAATTTTTAACTCAAATTAAGATGTACTCTTCTGGCTGCCAGCTAAAAGTGCTTTTCAAAGAGCAAAGAAATTATGGCCAAAACAGCAACATGAAATACTAACAAGTGGTGTGCTCTTGAAAATATGAAAATTCAATATGATTCATTTGCACTTTATGCGGTGCGTACGTACGCATTCCATTCGGGCAATTAAAAATGCGAAAAATCCGAGTGAAGTGTTCTTTGTTCAGCACATATAAAGTTAATGAACTTTGGCAGAAGAATATTTAAGTTGGCAAAATATTTAATAACCAATATATGGGAAAATACTTTATTTAATTGCTGCCGTGACATCAATTATTTCAATCGTCAATTCAAACAAAAGAAGTATTTGATTCGGATATTGAACCAAAGGAAGTGGTGGGTTTCATTGTGTAAATTAAGAGTTTTTTTCTTTTAAACTTATTTCATTGTTGCAAAACCAACTATTTAAAAACAAAGAAGGAATCAAATAATATTTAAATCAATAGAGTCAATTAATTATATTATTTTCAATTTATTCAATGAATTTAAATATTTACTTTATAAATATACATTTAATTTATTTTGAAAATAAGTGTTTGTAAATAAATAAATAATGATTTCGGATAGTTAAATAATTAGGTAAAAATAATTAATTAAAAATTAATCATTTTTATAATTTCCTAGGGTATTTATTTCTACGACTAGCACATCCTGCATCTTCTGGCCAACTCATGTCCCTTGGTTAGGTGTTACCTCCGCCGCTGTAACGTGAGGGCTTTAATACCATGGCCAGAAGAGCTGGAGCAGAAAGCCGGCGAGACTCTGGTCACAGTTAGCCAAGTGTCTCGACCATTCCAAGTTGGCTTATCTCAGCTGCTGGCCCTCTACTACCACTATTATTACGGCCCTTGTTGTTGCTGCCGGGCGAACGTCCTTTGTATACATTTAATTTGTGTTTTGTTATTTACATTAACCGAGCGAGCGAGTCAGCCCAGGCAAAGCCAAAGCCCGACCCCGGGCTGCTGCTTTTAGCACATTTTCTATATGTGTGCCTGGACTGGTCCAGAACCTAAACCTGAATGGGATTTGCCCACTACTGACCCACCCATCGCACTAAGCAAATGCCGGACAGGCTGGCTGGTTCGTTTTTATGTGCGCTACGTGCTCAAAATAAATTTTCAAATGTGTTAACGAAACTATTTGACATTTAATTAGTTTGTGAGCGGCATGCACAAGGACCTAAAAGTGAGGGGCGGCGAAGGGTTGGGAAGAGAGAGCTGCCTGCGAGCCTTTTCAATTTCATCGGGTGCCGTGCTAATAGGCCCGCCAACATTATAATTAACAAGGCCTAAGGAATGACCCAACCAGGCGTGAAGATATGTCCGAGTGGGCGAAGATGGCCGGAAGATATGTCAGGAGATGAGCGAAAGGACGATGGACGAGGGACGCTGGAATGCCCTACAGCTGCCCTCCACTTGAGCCGGCTAATTGCCGGGGCACGTGACTCACCTGTTGCCGCGGCTAATGACAGGAACGTGTTCAAAATGGCCCGCTCGCCGCCGGCTCCCTCGGCCAGCACCGAGTTGAAGCTGGGCCAGTACACCCACAGGAAGGTGGTGCCGATCATGGCGAAGATGTCCGAGGTGTAGCTGGCGCCCTCCAGCTTTCCTGCCTCATTTTGATCGCTGGCGGGCCTCAGCATCAGGGCCACCGCCAGTCCAAAATAGGCGCCGAAGGCATGAACAGTGATGGAACCGCCACAGTCGCAAATCTGTCAGGAATATAGCAATGGGAGAAATAAAAAAAATTTACAAACCACTTCGGGTAGATTAAAAAATATAATGTTGGAGAAATTCTACATTTTTCTTTTGCCAAAAATTGTCAAAAGAGTAGGAATAGTTAGAAACTATTTGGACAAAGGTTTTTGATTTTGTTGGCATTGTTCTGGAAAAAATACTAATTTTTTTTGAGAAAAAATTAAAATTCTGTGTCATAAACCGGATTTATATTCTGGTTCCACACATGAAATATCTGTTTTTAAATTACATCATCAAAATTATAAAAGTCAAAGTAATTAAAATGTATAAAAATAAAGCTAATTCTTTTGGAAATTATGCCATTCAAGGCAGTAGCAAAATGTCATTCTATTCCGTAAAAGGTATTATGCACGTTTGTTTTAAAATTTATTACATTGCTTTGATCAAGCTTATGGAAATCATATATTCGTTTTTCCAACATCCTAAACTGCATAAAATTAACACCGAATTTTAGCATGCATTTTAATTCAGTTTGCATATGGTATGACCCATTTGTCACGACCTGTTTAAAGTTTAAACCTATTTTCATAAATAAGTTTTTGGCAAATAATAAATATTAGTTCGACAAAATAGTGATTGTTATATGCAAATTCGTGACTACCAGCTGCTGAATAATACATTTTTAGCGCCACTAACTTAATGGCTTTTACTCACACTGAAAACATGCAGGGCCAGGTACTCGTTGGCCGCGAAAAGAGCCACCTCGAAGATGGACATGCACAGGAGTTGGATGGGCGTGGTCCTGCCCAGCAGAGCGCCCATGCTAATCAGGGGCACGGCGGCGGCAATATCCGCATCAATGATGTTCTCCAGGGAGAGGCTGTGGGCGCAAAAGGGAAGGGAATACGATGAGCAGGAAGTGCGACAGGTGACACGCCCCGAGCCGCATAAAAAATGGCTACATCTTCACCAAGATGAAATGGCCGCCAAATGAAATGGAATACATTTTAAAGCATTTCAAGACAGTTTATATTTCTACACAGGGAATATATAAAATAAATTTAGGCATTCACATAGAAAGAAAATGTCTGAAAAGACACTTTTAAATTGCTTAAAAATGTTCAAGAATTTACTGATATTTTACTTTACATTTAGTTATGACAAAAAATATTTATTTTAAACGTTATTATTTCAATTCTTTTTATTTCTTTTATATTTTTTATTATTATATTTATATACATTAGAATAAGATAAACTTAAAAATTGTACTTTAAATTAAATGAATTTCCCCTAACAAAACAAAAATGATTTTAAACGAATATATTTTTCCACATAATAAATTCAATATTTTTTTCTTTTAGTACATTTGACTGTCAGCTCCATTGGTTCTTTTTACAGCTGCTTGTCCTTTTGTTTGCCATTTGACTTGGGATTGTTTCCCATTTCACTTAGCATAAGTAGAGGATTCCACCCCAAACCTCCTCCGCCTCCTTCTCAACTCAGGTTGACTTCTTCATTTAAAGTAATTGCTTGAATTCATTTTCAGCTTCGGGGTATTTTTCTTCATTTGACATCGCAAAGTTATTTGCTTTGTGGCCTGTCAGTTTGGCTCTTTGGCTCGAAGTCAAGCAATTAATAAATTGGAGCTCACCTGATCTTGCCGCCCTCCATGTGGAGGAATCCCTTCATCAGGACTGCCCACTGTACCACCAAGGCGGCCATAAACAGGGTGAAACCGGTGGCACTGTATCCGTATTTCCGCAGGAAGGTCATCAGGAAGCCGAAACCGATGAAGATCATCACCTGGATGTCCTGGAACTCTGTGGGGAATGGAAGGGGGTTAGTCTTGGCCAGCTGGGATGCCAATTAATAGAGTCAAGTCGTTTCAATTAACCGCCCAATTGTCTGCTGCCAAAAGTCAATTGCATTGAGATTGATGTCACCAGGGCACCAAGATGGTGCCTTATAGTAGGGTGTAAATACCAATCAACCACCCACTTTTGCACCCTCTTCTACACCCCCTCACAAACACATCCCCTGTGTGCGTATGTGTGTGCTCGCGCGGGTGCAATTAGTGTGAAATACGGTTTAATTTATTTATTATGAATTGCAACAAGTTGTTTACAGACGCATTTGCATAAATTGAAATTAATGACTTTAATTATTCATTTGTGCGCGTGTGTGTGTGTGTCGCATTGTTCGGTTTCGCTTCAGTTCGTTTTGGGTTCGGTAAAATGTACTATGTACCCTGTACAGTGGCTGAAGTAATTAATGGAATTGGTGCCACGGGACCCAAAAAGACAACGGAGACTGTGTGCGAAAAAGAACTTCATTTATTTATGACCCGCCAACACTTGGCAAACAATGCGGGTCCTGCTCTTGGTTCTCGTCCTGACTTCATCTCATTCCCCTCCCTCCCGAAAATAGAACAGGACTAGAGTTTATATCTATATATATATATCTATATGGGTAGCATGGGTAATAGCTTTATGTGGGCTTTGATTTAGAGCTTCGACTTGGTGTCCTTTTAATTGTTTTCGACCATTTTGCATTGAATTTGCCTTGGTTGGTGATTCTGGCATTTTAATTACTCGGTTATGAATGGAATATATAAAAAGTTTTCAAGTGATTAATTCATTTGTTGATACATTCTTATTTTTGGATCTTATCTATTCACTATTAATTCACAAACAATGAAACGGCACGAGATCAAACGTTTGTTTAATTAATAAAAAAATTCTTTATTGATCACCACCATAATATATTTTTTGTGAGTCATAGACAAAAAAACAAATATGAAAAATGAAACTGTTGCCAAGTTCCCTCAGGTTTAAAGCCTTTTATTAGCCCTATATAGCTAATTAACCAACAGAAAAATCAAAATAAAAACAGAGCTAAAAATAACACCTTTCGCACACTTGCGGTTAATTTTAAAGAGCAAAACTAAAAATAATTCAGATGATATTTAAATATTTATTTAAGGTAGCTGTTCAGATTGACTAGTTGAAGAGAATGCAGTGACATTTATTGCACAAAAACTATCGAAAACAAACAAACCAACAATAATATGGAAATAATGTATACAAATACTAGAAATGATATTTTTGCACGTTTGCTATTATTTTAGAGGGGCAAATCTAAATATATAACAAGTTTCCGCACACAAGAGGTGCACATTGTGGGGGTTCCATGTAAATTATTTCCCCAACGTATAAAAAACTTTATTATTTGATTTGTCAGTATGAAAATGTTTGCGCTGTTGCCATGCATATTTAGTTTTAGTGACTTTTATTAGACAAAGCGGGCTAATTAACCAACAGAGAAATATTTCAAAAAACACAAACAATAAAATGATATCTTGACTAAAGTTGTTGATAAATATTAATTTGATTAGCAAAAGTGTTTGAGCTCCTGCCGAGCAGATTTAAATTTAGTGGCAGTTTAGCTTTTGCTGGCTAATTGAACAAGAAAATAATACTTGAAATGCATGTCCTATAAAAAACAATTTGGTCAATAAATATTTTCGCACGTCGTGATTCATTTTGAGGGGCAAATTTTAGGATTATAAAATAAAATGGGGTGTTTCTCAAGAAAGATGCTGTTATAAACTATTTGTTAGCTTACTCATTTTTATAAGGTTCTGCTAAACGATTTTTAATGGTCCAATAAAGGCAAAGGAAAAATATTATAAAGAAATGACCAACCCATTTTTTAAAAGCTTTAGAACTACATTAAAAACATCAAAATTCTTACTGATTCAAAAAAATGTACTCTTTATCATTTTAAAACAAGAGAGAACGCTATAGTCGGGTTGTTGTCCCGACTATCTAATACCCGTCACTCAGCTAAAGGGAGTGCGAACGCTGTGTCGGGTTGGTGTCCCGACTAATAATCGTAACTCAGCTAAAGGGAGTGCGAGGGAGATAGATATATAATTTTTGATTGCGTATAACTTTTTAATGAATGGTCCGATTTGAAAAATGTCTTCTACATTGCATTTATACTTTCGGAAATCTTTAAAGATGTGGGCGCAGGACCCATTTTAAAATCGTTAGTGGGCGATTGTGGGCGTTAGAGGGGGCGTGGCGCTCGGCTAAAATAAACTTGCGCTGCGTAGGAAGCCAAAGAATATGTGTGGGAAATCTCAACCCTCTAGCTTTTGTAGTTTCTGAGATCTCAGCGTTCATACAGACGGACAGACAGACAGACAGACAGACAGACAGACAGACAGACAGACAGACAGACAGACAGACAGACGGACAGACGGACATGGCTAGATCGACTCGGCTAGTGACCCTGATCAAGAATATATATACTTTATGGGGTCGGAAACGCTTCCTTCTAGCTGTTACATACTTTTGCACGAATCTAGTATACCCTTTTACTCTACGAGTAACGGGTATAATTATCCAAATTAAATTTAAATTTTAAAGGCAATTTATGGACATATAAAAGTGAATATTTTATAAAAAATTAAAAAAAACTTAAATATTTTAAAGTTTGACTGTAGAATATAAATTAAATTTAAAGCTTTGGGTGAAGATATAAAATAAATTCACATTTATGGTTAATTTGAGAGACTTGCTTGACTGAAGACGTTTTATTCAAGGCTAGCAAAAAAAGGATGGGGGCGAAAATCCCAGCTACTCACGCGGATATTTGGAAACGTGTTCGTTTGCTGATCCAGCGTCTTCGTCGCCGATTGCCCGGGGCATCGCCGTCTTTTCGTAACGCACGAACAGCCAGAATAGAACCAGGAAGATTATTTGCACAATCATCAGGACGACGTAGCCCGACACTTTGGCAGCCGGCGAATGCATGGCGGTGCTGGTGAAACTCGGGCAAAAAATACGGCAAAAAAAAGAAAAGCTAGACGGAACGGCTCCTGATTGGAGTTCGAGTAAAAAACGGAGACTGAGATGGAGATGGAGTTGTTGCCTTTGCAGATCCCGGCCGCAGACGATGCAGCACGTGTACGAGGAATTTACTACGGACAGGAAGTGTTTTCTCTCCCTTTTCTGGGGATGTGCAAATATTTGTGTGCTTTTGCTGCTCTATCTCCCAGACATCGGGATGCACACACTATCTCTATATATATATCCGTTCACATTCACGATCTGCTGCGGCTGAGCACTGGGCGCGTACTGATGCCCCGGAGCGATGAGCGCGGCGTGTAAGTAGCTGTGCGAGCAGCAAGTCGAGTCTGCGGTCAACGGGGCGTATGTGCGATATCCACAGCGATTTACTCGCATGATATAACTATTTGATTTAATTTGCAGTGGCCGCCGCTTGCTCTGAATTATTCACATTGAACCCCTTTCGAAGAGACCGAGTCGTTGTGGTTCCATTATATTTAAATTGTTTTTGTTTTAGTTTTAGTTGCATTGCAATTTCAATTCCATTTCCCAATTCCGAATCCAAATCGTTTTACAAGGCAGCCCAGACCTCCTTTGCGGTCTCTCCACCCAAAAGTCTGGCTTCTGTTCGCTTCGGTTTCGGTTTGTTTGTTTCGTTGGTCAATTGATTGGTAATTCGTTACAAATTTATCCTCAGACTGCTGCATTTTAGAGCTGTTGGAGCAGCCGGACAATTTGCATAAACACCATTGAATGGCTTGCCGAGAAGGTGAAAGTGAAGCTTAAGCTTTAACGAATTCTCCCCCATTCAGAGTGTTGTTATTGACTCTGGGCCAATCGGTTAAACCACTTAGAGGGGTTTTCTTGTTGACTGATAAGCCGCAATCTCAGTCTCTGGTCAAGTGGCAGTTGTGAGTGTGGCAGTGGGGGATATGTCAACAGAGGCGATCTGTCTATATACCAATTAATCACACATACCCAGTAGTTGCCTCAAAGTAATTAACATGCTGACAGCCGAAATGAACGGTCGTAAAATAAACAACCGCTCAAGTGGAGCAGCTGACTCGATCACAGATCGCAGATGAGCCCCTTCATTCGGCTTTTTTATACCGTTTGTTCAAGCAATTTCAGCTGATTAACAGCCTTTTTTAGTGGTTTAGTGCGAACTTAATGGGCATATAAAAGCGCGGCGAGTCGCACACAAGTGCCAAAAGCTTCGAGTTGCGAATGTTTGAAATAACTATACAGATCAGATGCCTATATCGCTCTATTTTGCGGGGGAGGGGAGAGAACGGTAAAGTTATTGCAAAAATTAGTTTTTAAAGTGAATTCGATTAAAATGCTTATCAGTCTGTTTCCATCTTATAACTATTTAAATTCACTAAGAAGAAATAAGTTTAACGTAGCCTAAAATGCAAAACGTGAAATTTTGTTTTGCATTTTTTAAAATTAAAAATAAAGTTAGTCATATTTTAGTTAAGTGGAATTTTAATTTATTATTTGTTTTTCTTATGACTAACCATTTAAGTTTAAGCTTAAAACCGTCAGTTAGTATGGGACCCAATGACGTGGCAATTTAATTAAATATCAGCAACATTAAAACAAAGGAAATATGAAAACAACATTAAACAAATCAAAATTTACTCATTTTATTTTGATGATTTGACAGTAGTCTCATCCAAAAAGATATTCCTAATTAAGTGAAAAAGATTTTTTATCACAAAACAAAACGCGCGGAAAATGATATCATAGAAATCATTATTTTAGTCAGAATAAAACTTGCCTTAAGAAATCACGTTTGCAGCTGAAATATATACCAAATTGATCTACTGATATATAGAACTTCATGTTTAAAATCTGGAGAGCAGTCTGCTAATTGTTAAAGCAAATATCCATATCAAATTAAACAGAACTCATAAAAGCGGTTAGTGGGGGGCCAGAACTCAAACTCACAGAGGCCACTGGGGCGTATGATTGATATTTATTTTTTCAACAAACACAAGCGCACCTGTGTGAAAATTGAAATTCTCATGGCGCTGGCAACAATAAAAAAGGTAAGGCCCCACATAAGAAAATGTGTGAAGTTTGCGCAAAAACCACAAATGTTGCCAGGCACGCGCTCAGATCTTGAAAATCCACACACACTCACTCACTCACTTACGCCGACAAAGAAGGAAAGAAAGCAGGCAGTGAAAGCACAGCAAAGAAAGCAGGCAACCGAAAGAAAGGAAAAGCAAGGCAAAAGCAAAGGCATCCATGGGTTCGAAAGGGAAGCGATTTCGTGCTGCCTACTTGGGAGGGAAATTTGCATCCGCAATCACTTTAAATGTTTCCGTTTGAATACGCAAATAAATCGAAAAGGATTTCCAATGAATGCTTATGAGTGTCCCGGCGAAAACCCTTGTTAACGTTGTTGTTTACAACAAGTGTACATGTCTAAAGCCCCAGAAAAGCGTCGGTAAAAATGCGAGATAACACTGCCAAACTGTCAGGATTGCTTCTAAAACTCCGACCGCAAGTGCTGCTCCATCCATCCATCCAACCAACGGCCAGTCTGGGTCATGTGGAGAGTACAAGTGCCGGCTGAGCCATAAATAAATATGAGCCACTGTTGTCAGACATCTCGGGCACAACAACAGCACAACAACGTTGACGATATGTTGATAAACTTTAACACCCCACAAACACTCGCCTAAAACCCGGCCAAGTGTCCAGTGGAGTAGTGCAACTGAACCAGGATTCCTGCTCGTCCAAGGACCTCCGGCTACAACTGCTACTCCTGCTACAACGGCTTCTGCTCCAGCTGACCCACAACAATTGTAGGAGTGCCGCTCTCTCCGTCCATATGCACTGTGTTTGCATTCCCATTCGGGGCGAAAGTCCATTCGGTAGCATATAGCATGGCAGAACTATTTTGTATGTGGCTTTCCTGCGAAAGCCCAAGTATCTGGCGAGGAATCCTTGCTGGCTCACCAGCACTAAAAAAAATAAATAAAATATTAGAGGAATAAATATATGTATTCCTTTTCAGAAATATAGTTTCTGGATTTTTATTTAACTAATTTTGTAAAATTTTAGAAAATAAATATTTTATTTTGAGTCAAATTTTATTTTTTTAATTAGTTATTTATTTTAATTATAAACAAAAAAAGAACAGATTAATTATTATTTATTAAAAAATAACGTTTTATCAAACAAAAAAAATAAATGATTTTTAAAATGGATTTATTCGGGTAAGTTATTTATTTATATATATATATATTTATATATATTTATATATATATTTATTTTAGATTTTATTGCGAGAGTTCACCATCAAAGAAAATTATTAAGATAAAATAAAATAGAAAGTTGGTCACTAAAATTGTAGTTCTAATAAGATCATAACCCTATTAATGCCTTGAAAATATATATTAAGATATTTCTTCAAGTGCAGCATTCCAGTGTCGCTCCAGTTGCACAATTTTTGGCTGCCGCTGCACTCGTGTCTAAAAGTGGGGATCTGGATAGTAAGGGGATGGGAATGGGGATGGTAACTCCTCGGTTGCGGGTGGTTGCGCCTAAGCGATTCGCTTTTTGTCTGTTTTGTGTCAATTTTGGAATCCGCTTTGGTTACCGCCCCCTCACCTCAGCACCAACCCCCCTCAACCCACGGCGCGTCGCTTCGGAAAAGCTTTCGGTTGCGCCAATTGTTGGCATTTACAGCTACTTGGCTGCCGGGCCCTTGACTTGGCCGGGATTTCGGATTCCGATTCCCCGGCATGGGATCTTCTCCACTGTGTTGCAGCTTAGAGATCCAGCTCAAGTGGCGCACTGGGGATTTTTCAATTGCGTTTATAATAAATTTCGATTTGTCAGCGGCAAAAGCGAGAGAGAGCGGCATCGGCATCAAGTGGCCGCCGCATCCCAAGTGGCAACGAAATCAGTCAGCGATATAGCCTCGGATACAAAAAACACAGCTCAAAGCGACGACAGCTCAATTCCTGAATCTAGAGTAAAATGTTTCGGTTGAGAGCGAGATAATCAAATGCAATCTTGGCACTACGAAACTAGAAGCCTTTGAAATATAGAAAGAATACTTTATTAAAAAAAAATCTATTGATTTAAATTTCAGGCTTTCACATATTAGAGAAAATTTTGTTTAAAATAATTTAATAGAAATTTGGAATTAAACGTAATGCTTAAATATTTAATAAATTATTTAATAATATATAGCTAGAAAAAAGCTGAGCTATTTTTCTCACAAATCCTCAAAATTATGCCTTATATTTTGTTAAATTACCTACAGATCTTTGATCTTCATCCTCAAAGTAGACTATAACAGTCTTAACCTATACAAACCAGTTTAATTTAATTACAAATAAATTAGTGCTGCGTGTGGATGCAGACGATCAGTAGACAAACTGGATCGATATTGGGCGGATATATTGGTCCGCACAGCCGGTGCAATAAAATGTTAAAAGCCAGCGAATCGAATCGAATAGATCGTTTGACAAACGTTTAGATTGTATACAAAATGTGAACTGAGTAGTTTGGCGCCAGCAAAGTGACAAATGATGTTATTTTATTCGAAAATGAAGGCAAACAAAGGGCACAGAACTCGCATAGCATAAAGCTAGTTATTGGCGAAATTTAAATGGGATTTATAAAGGGGTCATGAATTAGGTTACTTTTGCACTGGAAAACCCTCCTTCTTAAGCGATGGCAGTGGCATGAGTGGGCGTGGGAGTCACATTAGCCGTCTCATGATTAATGGCGGGAGTATAGGTTGTGGCTCCCGTCTCATGGGTCTGCGCAGGAGTATAAGTAGTGGCGGCCGTCGTATGTCCTTGGGCAGGAGTGTAAGAGGTGGCCGTGTCCTCGGGTTCCTTGTCCAGAATCACCTTTTTCAGGATGAAGTACAAGGCTCCGCCAACCAGCAGTTCAGCCAGGGCCACACAAACGATCAGAGCCCAGCCGGGAATGGCAAGACCACCTAAAAACAACAAGGCGGCTGAGTGATATTTTCTAGAATACACCACTACTTACTGAAGTATCGGCGGGTGAGGGTGCGACGACCGCGGTTCACACGTCGCGTGGCCTCCGTTTCCTGCAAAAAGCAAGCCAGCAGAACTGCAAAAAAAAATTATAAATAAAATATATTAGACATATGGGCACTCGAGCTTATTTCTGGGAGTACATATATATTTTTTTTAACCATCTATCACCGCGTGTGGTCGAAGGTGGCCCGCTGCTTTCGCGGCATTGGCTTTGAAGCCTCAACCATCAACCCCACAAGCCGTAAAGCGAGCCAAACGGAACTCATTGAAACAACACCAAGACCATTCATCATATAGATCTTCGGCTGCCGCGAAGACTTGTTAAGATATTAACAATTAATTATTGAGAAAATGTTTAACAGCAGAGAGAGCCAAGCCAAAATCAACAGAAAAAACTTCGAGCGCGCGCCAACTTGGAATGATAAATGTGATAAATTCTTCCTCCATTGTTTCCATTGCGGATGTCAGACTCGATTTCACGTAAAAATTATCAAAATGTATTTTTAATTAATAATATTTTATGTGTGTGCTCGCTGCTCATCTATTTGTTTTGGTTCAGCTCATTCGGCATATTTTGCGCATGAAATATTAAACGGATTTAGTTGTCGATATGGAAAACACAGTATTGATTTCCCCCTCGATTCGATTAGGTTATTCATGGAGATTTACGGACGGGGAACTGTGACAGAAAGCAATCCGCCAAATGGATGTGGCTAAGAGTGCGACCGAGTTTCGTTGGCCAGCCGCTAACCGAAATTAATTGTTTTCATCCATTTTTTGTGCGTTTAACATATTTCATAATTTATATGCGAAATAATTACCGAGCTTTGGCCACTTCCGGTTTTTAGGGCATTGTACTTTTGGCCTAATCAAAATTGCATGAAATGGAAATGATGCGGGATTTATTTGTTCAAATTTATATGATTTTCTCCTAAGCTCACTGATTCACCACGCCCTGAAATTAAAACCCACCAAGTGTTGGGGCAACAATGAGTAAACACAGTGCTTATCTGAATCGCACTGATAAGCAGAAACACACACATTTTTGTAGAGTTTTTCCTGTATGACGCACACTTGGCCCAGTTACTCATCGTTAAGGTCTCCAATTGCTGAAGTTGGGCCGTTAAAACGCCCCCACACCTCCGAGATCCTTTGGTTGCAACATCACCAGCACATTATAATGCAGCTTAGTCTCACATACACTCAGAAAATGAATCGCCCTGAATTTTAGAAAATCGCCTATGGATTTGCTTCACTGGCGATTTTTTTCTTTAAAATAAAAAAATTTTCTACTGGTAAAGAAAATTTTCTTCCAATTAATCAAAATTCATTAAATTCAAGAAATATTCCAGAAATATAGAAAAAAATCGCCAGTAAAGCAAATCCATAGGCGATTTTCTAAAATTTTTTTTTGAGTGTAGATACACAATACACCCACACTAGAGCTACATATCCACCAGATACGCTGCGTATCTCTGGCTGGCACTCAAAACTCAACAGATTCAAACGAGCATGCAGAACTTTACCCAAGCATATCACCAAGTAGGTGGAGCACTTCTTAGCCAACTTCATTTCCGTCGCTTTCGTTCGGTTCGGTTCGTTCGTTTGGTTCTTCCAAAAAACTTCTCTTCGCTGCTTCAGCTGTTAGCCAAGTTTGTAACGCGCACGTCGTCAACTCCAAAGTGGAACTAAAAACCTGTGCGTGATTGCATTCGATGGCAGGTGCGAGTATCTTATCGCAGCGCTCCTTATCGGCTGCAGATAAGATTAGAGGGCTCTCTTTTTCTCTCGATATGTGATAAGTCTGAGGTCAGCAACACTGGAAAAATATAAATATATTTTTAAGATTGTTAAAACTAAGAAATAAATTATAGTACTTATATATTTCCAGGTCTTGTATAAAAATAATATTTCTAAAAATAAATACATGATAATTTATATTATTCCAATAACAATTTATCAGAATAAAAATGCATATTTCTCAATCATTTTTGTTTCTTATAAATATTCTTTTATAGGGAAGATTTTTCAAAGTTACAAATAAATCTTGCTTTAGATAAAATTAATAATCTTTACGATTGCCTATTCATTTGTTTGAAATAAATATATGATAAATTCTTTATTTTTTGCTGGTTCATTCCTAAGAATTTTTTTTTAATGAAATATCGACGGGGACTTTTAAAAGTTACAACAAAATTATACTTTACATATAATAAATTAGATTATGTTAAGATTTTTAACAATGGCCCCATTTATTTGTTTAAATATATTATAAATTCTATTATTCCCTGGTTCAATCCTAAACTATTCTTTTGAAGAAATAAATTAGTTTCCTACTCTATCTCAATAAAACCAATACGAGTTTGTTCTATCTTTAGATAACTCTTAAGAAATATTTTGATGTGTTCTTTTCTCTACCAAAACTAAACGCGTTTGCTCTAAATTGGTACGTCTATCTAAGCACAATGCCAGTTTTTGACTTCATTGTTAGGTAAGATAGTGAAGGTAATATTTTAGATACCCAATCATGTTCTTGGTTTGAAACAGGTATGCTTAAAAAGCAACAAATGTTGTGGGTTAATCAAATGCTATAAGATATGTTAGGACTTATAGACAACATTTGATGTGCCATAAATATTTTTGGCAAAAGGAAAAGAGTTGCAAAGTTTTTTGTTTAAAAATGTTTATTATTGTTAATTCGGGTTTGTACTCGGGTTGTTCATAACGGATTCAAATTGACTAATACGCTCGACTTATGGTTAGTTTCATCTGGAGACTTTCAAAGGCAGGACTTCTTCTTCTTTTGAAAAGCATCCTTGACAATCTCAAATGCTGCGGTGGGAGTGGGCACAATCGGCGGCTTAGTGGCGACGGAGCTTCAGACGACGGACGGTCTTGTAGCGGTAGCCATCGGCGGCCAGGACGGTCTGCTCGGCGGGCACATCGATGATGGCGGAGGCGGCGACGGACTCCTCTGCGGGGGGCAGGTACTCGGCGGAGGGCAGCTCATTGACATCACGACGGCGACGGATCACACGACGGACGGTCTTGTAATGGTAGCCATCATCAGCCAGGGGAGTCTCCACGGCAACAGCCTCGGAAGCCTCCTCCTGAACGGGGGGCAGGTACTCGGCGGACAGCTCGTTCACATCACGACGGTGACGCAGCTTCAGGCGACGGACGGTCTTGTAACGGTAACCATCATCGGCCAGGGGAGTCTCCACAGCGATGGCCTCGGAAGCCTCCTGAACTGGGGGCAGGTATTCAGCGGAGGGCAGCTCATTCACATCACGACGGCGACGGATCACTCGGCGGACGGTCTTGTAACGGTATCCATCATCAGCAAGAGGGGTCTCCACAACCTCGGAGGCGGCTTCCTCAACAGGGGGCAGGTATTCGGGGGACAGCTCGCTGACATCACGACGACGACGGATCACACGGCGGACAGTCTTGTAGCGGTATCCATCATCGGCCAGGGGAGTCTCGACGGCAACAACCTCGGAAGCCTCCTCAGCTGGGGGCAGGTATTCTCCAGAAGGCAGCTCGTTCACATCACGACGACGACGGATCACACGGCGAACGGTCTTGTAGCGGTAACCATCGGCAGCCAGGGGAGTCTCCACAACCTCGGAGGCGGCCTCCTCAGCTGGGGGCAGGTATTCACCGGAGGGCAGCTCGTTGACGTCACGACGACGACGGATCACACGGCGAACGGTCTTGTAACGGTAGCCATCATCAGCCAGGGGAGTCTCAACAGCCACAGCCTCAGAGGCGGCTTCCTCAACAGGGGGCAGGTACTCAGCAGAAAGCTCGTTAACATCACGACGACGACGGATCACACGACGGACGGTCTTGTAACGGTAACCATCATCAGCCAGGGGAGTCTCTACACCAACAACCTCAGAGGCGGCCTCCTCAGCTGGGGGCAGATACTCTCCAGAGGGCAGCTCACTGACATAACGACGGTGGCGCAGCTTGAGGCGACGCACGGTCTTGTAGCGGTAACCATCATCGGCCAGAGGAGTCTCCACGGCGATGGCCTCGGAAGCTTCTTCCAGGTTGTTGTCCACCGGCGGCAGGTAATCCGTGGCAATGGAGGCCGCCGAGGCAGCTGCGATCACAGCAAAGGCAATGACAAAGAATTTCTGGGGAGAGCGGAAATGGGTTGATTAGTCCTGCTCCAAGGATCACCTCTGCAAAAGAACTAACCATTTTTCCAGAAGATCCAAGACGATGTCTGCTAGATTAATCCAAAGTTGATTCTGTTTCCAAACCAGACCCAACGACACTATTTATACACAAACTGAGGCGAAAAGTTCTCAACTGGCCGATGTCCATTCACTTTGAGATCAGTGGAGATGAGATGAGCTACGATGATCGCAGAGGAAACCGGTTGGTAAGCGATGAACGGACTACCGCATCGATCGATGGCTTCTTCTTCTTCTTGGGGTCTCTGATGAAGCTCCGATCTTGGATCTTGTCTAGTTGCTATTGTCAAAAAGTGTCTCAAGCACCAATTGAACTCTAGCTGGCCATAAAAGATGATTAGCGCGGCCAACTGCCAGCGGACAAAACGAAAGTAAACAAAGAGTCCGTAGATTTGTATATTGGTATTCTTCGTAGATTCGTAGACTTGTAGATTTCGTAGATTTTTGTAGATTCGTAGGCATAACAATGGTCGAGGGCTCTTCGATTGTCTCGATTATTTGCATCGGTTTATGTCTAGCATATATGATATGTGGTATCTGGTATTGTATAGATCGGATACATTTGTGACAATCCATTACCATTGGTAATTGCAAGCGGAAGTCGTGTATTTTTGGAGGCTCTCGATCGAACGTTTAAGGCCAAGATCTCTCGATTGATATGCTTTGATACTTGATGGACTAGAGACTTGAGCTTTAAGTTTTTTAAGACTTGAGAATGGAGTGTTGCTATTTTCGGCTATTTCGCTCGCCACGCTTTATTAGGAGGCTATTAATAGAGGCATGATTTAAGAGTTCGCCATCGACTTTTCCATTTTTCAATTTATAATTTTAAATTTAAATGGCGTAGATGCTCCAATTGAGCGGCAGGCAGGCCATAAATCTCGCGGATAAGCTTAACAATCTCCCACTCACAGCGATTGGATGGCTTAGAGGAATATGGATTCCCATAGTAAATCCATTCTGGCGATGAGAATGAGTTTGAGAACGGATGATGGAGCACCTCTCGACGAATGGCAATGGAACCTCGAGTGGTCTGTCTGTCTAAAAGCGTTTTGATATGTAGATGGGTTATAAGAATAGAATGGAATGTGCTTTTTATATTCTATATTCCCCCATACGTTATATCATTCGTGTATTACATCCTGTTGTGTGTAACTGAGTGTACGAAAGCGTTCTTGTAATTCAGATTTAAACTGCGCACGAAACACCGAAATCTTTCTTTCATTAACTTTATTTCCTGGTCAGCGAAAAAAATGGTCTCAATTTCAAATATATTCACACAGCATTCGGGGGGCTTTATTCTTTCGTTTATTCATTTGTAAATGGCGCACATAAAAAATATATATCTGTATGTATTTCCACAGCCAGGCTGTATAGTACTGTGCATATTTAATTTATATCTGGCAATCAGCATCATCATCATCATGAAAATGCCCCACCATCTTGCCACATTGCCCCCTGGGTGAAGCACACAAAATAAATACGACAGTTCGCTTTTGGGGCTTCCTGGGATGCGGCGGAATCAAACGGAACAAAATCAAAATGTATATCTGCATATAGATGGGACGACTGGCGGTCCTTTGTGCCGGCGAGAAAAAACATAAATAGTTCCAGGATCTGGATCCCCATCAGTCGTCCAGCTGGCAGAGGCAGGCGGTGCCCCGGTTAATCCAATGCATCGGCTTCCGGGAGCATCTGAGCTGCAGGTACATCACGAAATTGGTCGAATGGCCGGTGGTCGAGAGGACGCCCCTCCGTTCGCTGGTCTTGTAAACGGGACAATCGTAGATGGCCTCCGGCTCAGCAGCGCCGCCGGTGGATCGAGGCAGATCCTCCAGGGCTTTCAGCACAGGCCGTAGGTAAATAACCGGCAGGGTGTCAAACAGGATCTTAGAGAAGGATTCGTCCACCTCCTTGGTCTTGCGATTCCAACGAGCGCCCTCTATGAAAATTCCCTGCAGAAAAAAATTGTATAAGTAAAAGAAAGAAAACTTAATTTAATGTACAAAATTCTAAACCCATTACCTATAATCATAAAAACCCATAATACCGAAAATAAATAGTTTATCTAACTCTGAGAAGAAAAGTAGTATTGTTCTAAATTAAAGAACAACTCAAAATAAATATTTGAAAGCTTTATAAATCTCTAAATAAAATTATAAGATTTCATAAAACATTTCGAACTTTTTATAATTTTTTAGCTTGGGAAAATACAATATTTAATTCAATACGATTCCTAAAACAAAACCTTCATAAAAACCTAAAAGAAAAGCAAAACATCATTTATTTTATAGAATAATTTTAATGTTATTCAACTGATAAAGTGGGTTATATTTTAACCAAATTAATTATTATTAGCTAATGTCTAATTAGCAGGCAGTGCAGGAAACGTGTGTGCTTAAAAATAGTCTTACTTGAATAAACTTGGTCTCATCGTTGACCTCTTTTTGTTCCTGTTGCGTGTGTGGGAATTAAATAAAATTATAAACTCGTTTCAGCAGAGTTCTATTCGTATCTGTTTTTGTTTGCATAATAAGTTGGCTAATAACGACTCACCCGGATGTAGGCTCCCACCTCGGGAGTTCCAGGGACCTGCACCTCGAACTTGGTCACCGCAAACTCGATCAAGATCATGTCGATCTGGAAGCGATTCTTTCGCGAGTAATTCTGCAGCACGCCGGTGATGAAGGACTGGGTGAAGTAGAAGCCGGATATCCAATAGACCATCGGTTCGCCGTTGTCTATCCAATCCTGGAAGAAGGCCAACCTGCGGAATGGTTGTGGGAAGAGAGTTATCTTATTTTTCAATTTATTAATAAATATTAAACATGCGACAACAATGGGCAGAGGGTATTGGGCATTGGAAAAGGGACTGGGAATGGGAATGCACACAAAGCAGGAGCGGGAGCACACAAACAGCATTCGTCCTTTGATGTCAAAAGCAAATAAGATTTTTGCCATGAATGGCAGTGGCAGTGGCAACCACAGGAGGAAGAGCATCGGATGTGTGTGCCGTATACATTTATTATATTTGCACAATTGAGGCAAAGAACGAAAGGAACGAAAACGAAACGAATATAACTCGTAGCAGGGCGCACGCGGCATTACTGGCAACTCAGCTCAATACACAATGCCATTGATGGCGGTCCGAATGTCTAGAAATACTACAAGTGCACTTGGAAAAATAAATAATTAGGTTTTAAAAAATATAAAATAATATTTAAAAAAAAAACATATTAGCAAAAGATACTGAAATAATTATCAAAAATATTTATACTTTTCAAAAACTTCTATGAAGTTCAATAAATATATTAAAAACCACAAGTGCACATAAAAAAAAATAATTTGCTAATTTGCAATTTTTTTAGAGTGCACAAACATGACTTCACCAAAGGGCTAGGGAACTGGAGGACTCACCGGGCCAGAAGGTCGCTCACGTAGCTGCCCAATGGCTTAAGCGACGGATAGCTTTTCTTCAGCCAGTCCGCCGGCAGCTTGCCAATGACCATCGAGGCGTGTGTTCGCTCCAGCTCGGGTATCATCGCAATCTGGCCGACCACCGCCTTGCCCACGTTGACCAGGCTCTTGCGGATGTACGAGAGCAGGCGGTTGAAGCGAATCAGTTCCTGGCGGAGCACGGTGTTCATCGAATTGGTGTAGATCACGGGATATGTCTTGGAGACCTCGTCGATGTCGAATTCCTCGGGCAGCTGGCTCAGCACCTGCTTGCAAATGGCTATGGCCGGATCCTCCTTGGCGCCGCCCGAGGAACTGGCCTTCACCGAGGCCATCAGATCCGTTTGGGTCAGCAAAACGCCACTAATGAGCTGTGGAAAATAAATATAAATAAATATTTAAAATTTATTTTGTAAGGACTTACGGCATTGGTTTCCTTGACATTACGATTAATGTCCGCATTTTCATGCAGTCCATAAACCTCCGGATGCGGACTCAACGGGAAACTGGACACATACTCTATGGAGTTCAAACGAGTGGGACTCAGGGGAACCAGATAGTTTCCAGACTGAGACAAAGCATAGCTAAAAAAAATGAATTAATATTTATTATTAAAATTAGGAACTCGACTTACTTATCCTCTTCTATGGTATTGGGATTATATATCATGTTAAGTAGCGATAATATCAAACGACGATCCTTATCATCCGTAACTCGACCTCCATAATTGCATTCTCCCGTCAAATAAACATGTCCTCGGAAAGGAATACTCTGACTTTGTGTGATGAACATCTTCAGCTGCAACAGTGAAATTCTGAAAAAGAAAATATAATGTAAAAAATATAAATTCGGTTTATAAAAAGCTCTAATCAAATATCAGTGTCCCAATAACCAGTTTTATAAAGTTAATTTGTATAATTTAACATGCTATTAGTATTCAGTTTACATTTCACCGAATGTCGTTTAGTAATAAAAATTTAACAGTAAAACCGAGCAATAAAAAGTAAACTCTGGTTTTAAGTATAGGCAATAAATATAAGGCAATAGGTATACCTCTATAAAATTATAAAATTAAATTCAATAATATAAAAAAAATAAATTTAAAAAAATTATATAAAGTTTTTCCAAAAATTCTATTAAAAATAGTTAGATTTCTAAATGTTTAATTAAAAAATAGGTTTTATTTGCTTACTTCAAATCCGACTCATTGAACTCGTAGGGGATGTTCCATCCCAGGGGACCAAACTCCCTCCTCTCCTGGACGACGGCATGGAAGAATACCAAGGCGAAGACCCCCCTCAGCCAGCACTTGTTCGCGCTATCCGAGAATAGGAAGGCGTTGGTGAAGAACTTATCCCTCATTAACGGATCCGAGGTAAAAGAGCGATGCATATTGGCCCTCAGTCCCTTGGGCGGTTCGTTTGTCATCTTCACGGAATTCTGGAGTACCGAAACAGGGAAGACGGCACTCGGGTACGAGGTGCACCACAAACGATAGTCGTGATTGGCCCCGTCCGTCAAGGTGGTATCGTTGCAAATCCTCTCCAAATCGCCCATCCAGCTGATGGCCACATGACAATTCTGCAGCACCACCCACTGGCCATGTC